CTTCTCTGTTTTTTATTCCATTGTTGTTTTCCTCCTCCTATTCTCTATATCATCTCAGTTCAGATAACAACCTGACAGATGATGTCAGAATCCATCTACAGTAAGAATTTGTATGCAAGTGTATCCATCTGTTTGCTGTGTGTTTGGTGGTGGATCTTGCATATGTGTGTTTAGTACACTCAGCTGTCTGTGTTGAATGTTGTCTGTGTTTTTCTTGCATATATCAGTATGTCTTTAAAAGGGTAAAAATATGTTTGCAGGGGGAAGAGAATAATAGTAGAGTTTATGACACATTCATCTCCTCAGAAACAATAAAATAGGCAAAGCTTATGTCCTGAAAAACATGCAGATATTTTGGGGCCAGCCATTTAAGAATATGTGACGAGTCTGCGGTGCTTATGTACACATCACATATCTTTTGTTAGCATGACAGTAGGTGTGTGTGGGGGGGTATAGGCATGCATGTGCGTGGATCCTGCTTGTGTGATGCGATGAGGAATGTCTGTCTCCCAGTGGGCCTCACTCAAGGCATGCGAGCAACGCCAAACACTGCCAGTGAGGGTGTCTTCACACGTGTTTGTGCGTGCACACTTAAGCCTTCCAAATGTTCTCGACCGCGAAGACTTCCAAGTACATGACTCAAACGTCACACCTCTTCTGCTGCTATCTTTCTGTCTCTCTCACTTTCGCACAATATCTCATTTACATCTCATTCTGTCAAACCGCAAGCTGTGTTTCCCACCCCCATATTGGTGTCAGTGACTTTTCACCTTCTAGTCTTTTATGTTACACACAAACACACATGCTGAGTGACAGTCTGTGCCCACTATCTATTCGCAAAGGGTCTTTTCAGTATTGTCTCACTTGACCATACATGTGTATAGAAAGTGGAATAATAACATCACACACCACAACCTCAGAAATGACCATATGGTTTAGAAAAACCCAAGACTGCAGATAGATGTTGCTTTTAATATATCCTCCCCTTGAATACCGTTTCCAGTATACAAGGGGGATTATGGGTAGATAATGGTTCCATTTATGTGCATACACAAATATTTCTAAGCATAACTTTGCACCTTTGCATGTGTTTCACATTTTCACATGCATCAAACCCAACACATAAAGCAATGCTTCACAGCTGCACACCAGCACAGTTGTCTGCTGTCTTGTTATTTTTTTGACATGGAAAATATTTTTATTCCTACTAGCTCTGAACAAGGATAAAAGGGCAAAAAAACTAAACAAAACAAAAAAAACATGTAGGTTTAAATGTCTTCTTCTGAAGAAACGGTAACAGAATAATACAGATACTTTTAAAGAAAAAAGCAAATAAAAACTAAATTAGAAAGTAGGGATAGAACTTTGTCCCAGCTACGGAGCAAACAGACACGCGGACAAATGTGCGAATAGAAGTGACACTTATCTAGTCAAATCCATGAATCAGAGGTCCTTGTTGGCTCATGTTGGAGGTTGCATGTGAGAAGAAAAGAAAAGAAAACAGACGAGAGTGAAGAGATGTAAAGAGCAGAGCAGAAGAAGTGACGTCAAGGGCGCTTTCAAGTATGAGGGAATGTGTGAAAGCAAGAGTGCACAGACCTGGAGAGGTGAAAGAAATGTTATTATAGGAGTCTGAGAAGTTGCATAAAATCAATTCCTGGACACACAACAAGGTGGAAACATGCAATTGCGTCTGTGTGTGAGAAAGTGAGAAACTGATTGCACGTTTCAGTCTGTGTGTGAGGGAGAGAAAGAAAGAGGGATGAGGGCCCAGCAGGTGCATGGAGGCAAGTAGTGACGCACTTAAGCAAGCACACAGGAGCCGGCCTCCTTCCCATCTCTCTTTTCGTCCCTCTCTTCCCCTGAATAAAGTGGGAGCCATTAATATTCATCTATTCAACATGCCGTAGCTTCCACATTCCTCCTCCCCATCTTGCGCACAGTGATTTGGATTGTGCCTGCTGGTTGAGTGACACAGGTCTCATCAAATGAAACCCACACAGCTTATATATACTCATGCGTCATGAAATTTTTCTGCCACACAAAAGCTGGAAGACCAATGGGAATGTGAAGGATGAGCTGTGTGATGTGCTTATTTCATCCTTATATAGACAAGACAAGCTGCTCTTCCCCTGAGCAAGCTCCATGCCACAGTGTGATTTGTGTGCTGTGTGTGTTTGTACTGTGAGTCTGTGTATGGAGCAGCTCTTCGTTGACTTGCTATCTGACAGACATGTAGACGTGTACATACATCATATGCAGCGCCAGTGAAAGAAGATACAGCTAAAACAAGTAATTTTTGAAATTAAAGTTTTGTTTATTTTGTTCTCCGAGAGAAGCAGAAGATTAGCTGGCATGTTTTTTAAATAAAGGGTCAGTTCATCCAAATTGTGCATCGATATACAGTAGTTTTGGTAGTACTCATAGTTTTGGTGATAGTTTTGGTTGTGTATGTGATGAGATGTTTGATACAAGAGGACCTTAAAGCAACTTTGTGTTTGCTCATGAGGGCACTGATAATAATAATTAATAATTCTAATAATATAATCCAGTGACCTCACTGCCTTAGCTTTGCTTTGTGCTTAGCAATAATGTAACAATCAAATGTTAGCATGCTAACACACTAGATTATACATGGTAAACCTTATACCTGTCAAACTCCTGCATGTTAGCATGTTAATATGTCGATGTTAGCGTGTAGCTCTAAGCACCACTGCCCTAGGTGCAGCCTTTCAGAACTGCTGTAGATGCTAAGTCTAGTTTAAATGTAATGTTTCAATTTAGGGGGAAGTTTTTTATACTAACTGCCACCATTATGATAGCAGTGGGAAAAGGTGGGTTTTCAACAAGTAGGTATCTTACACTGTCTTGGGGATGTAGAGCTCAGCATGGAAACACTGTGCAGGGGAAAATTGTACTTAAAACAGTATAACTTTGGGAAATACCCACCAAATTTGACTGATTCAAACAACTGAAAAGATAATAATCTACCGTTGCACAGAATGTGGACTGTAAATTTGTTTGCTTACATTTAAAGTGCAATAAGAAGCGATCTCTGGATTGCCAGTATGCAATTACATTGATGCATATCTTTTCAGTCTACATTTTTCAGTATATATTGTGTTAAAATAGACTTAAAATGTGAATTTATCTTTCTATATTGCTTTTATGTGCATATTCCTTTTTAAATTGTCAGTCCACCCTCATGGTTTAAGAAAATATAGTTGTACTGTATGCCCACCACAGTTTGGGGTGCGCCTGTGTCTGGATAATATCACTACATGAAACTACCTTCTCAGCACCACATACACTGATTTATCAATGCTGCTGCTAGTACTGCTTTAGTGTATTACTCACACTGATGAAGTCTACACTGCTCAGTCTTTATTTTCATCTCAATGCTTACTGTTCTCCATTGTTTTCACTTCAGTAGTTGCACAGTTGAAAATCTGGACATCTGGCCGGAGGACTTACACAGTGGCAACTGTGTCGGTGTCCACGTATGTGTGTTTGTGTGGGTAGGTGAGTGCTTGTACAGAATGTGTGCTTTGATTGCTTTGGGTGATTGACTGGACAGTAGCCAAGACATAGAATAAAACACCCACACAAAAAAACATTCTGTTAAAACAAGTATGAATTTATTCTTTCTTTATGCTGCATCTTTCAAGAACATCTTTTCTTCTTTTAAAGTAAAAATAAATAACAAATAAGCCAATCTGCCATATAGAATTATCATTTCTTTCTCAGATACAAAACATATAACATGCATACTGACAATCTGGTATAACTGGCACTTTTGTAGTCTGACAGTGACCTCACTGCCAGGGCCACTGAAGAGCACCTGGGCTCAGTTTGACCTCCTCTTAAGACACTCAGTAAAAGACTAAAGAGTTTGATGATACTGAATATTCCCTAAAATCATTGTAAATCAAGAACTCTGCTGACAACAATAAAATTCAAAGAGATAGTTCTCAACAACTCTCAAAACCAAATAGGAAAAAAGATTGTGTAAGGTTGTTTCTTTTGAATCCAGACTAACTGCCTTTGTGAGTGGATCCATGTGTGTATGTGTGTGTGTGTGTACTGTACCTCACTAACATTACCTCCTACTCTTTCACTCCTACTATATCTTGGCCTTGCCCTCATCTTCTCTGTTGGAGTTAGAGACATTCTCCTTCCATCCTTTCTCTGCCACTGAAGGCTGAGTGGAGTTTTAGGACAATAGTGTACTAAATAAGGAAAGAAGACTGAAGTTACTCTACATCAGCACAACTACGGTGTCTTGTTTCCTAAAAGGCAATGTGGAAACTTGTTCGGAGGAGGGCGGTATGAATAAACGCTGCTGCAAGAGAATGGATGTGGATGGAGTGGATGCCTATATTTGGTAGCATCCTCAATCTCCTTTTTTTCCACACTACTTCCGCTATTTGCTTACAACATTTCTTCTCCTCACTTATGCAAGCTCAGCATTAACAGTTCCTTCTGGGTTCAATTTTAAAGCCCGCCCCTCTATCACTTCACATCATCTCCATCAGTCTCTCTGCACATCAGTGTCAGTCTTAATTTATCTCCTGCACTCACTGACTCCAGACTCCCTCATTGCTCTCTTAGCGTATTTACAAATCAGCCAATTTACACCTAGTCTGTCCATCTGGCATCGCCCGACAATGAGTCACTGGAGTGACAAACCTACTGACGTATTTGCCTTTTGCAGCGTTGCTAGCTTGTGAATCCATTCATTCTCATTTATCCACTCACACAGACAGATGCCCAGCACAGCCAGTCATTTTGAGCCGCGTCTAACTGACACATCAGGTCCATTTGGTCAGTCCTTTTAGTCCACGCAGCAGTAATCTGGTACTTTATATTGGATTAGTGTTTTTACTCATTTTGCCCCAAATGTGTTCTCTTGAAAACAAAATAACTCTGCAGAACACCTTTAAATCCCTTTATATGTATATAATCTGTAGCCCTAAAGAAAACCATGATAGACAGCATGATTCAGGAAATATTCAGTGTAATATTTTATCAAGATCTTCATCTGCATTCAAGTCAACAATCTTTATAATTTATACATATCAATATGTCACAGAAAGACATCCAAAAACCAAAATCTATGGCTTCCTGACAGGAAGCATTCATTCCCTGTGGTTGTCGCAAACGACACCATATTTACAGAAAATGGTGAAGGGCATGATGGATGGAACAACTACTGACAAGTGGATTCATCACTTTTCTCCTGCTAGTTGCTGCTTCTACTGCCAGCACTGTCCCGCATAGTGTTTCCCTCTACTCTCACTTCTACTTTTCTTATTGCTTCATGAACATTGCCCCCCCCCCTTGTTCCTTTTTCTCTTCTTCTTTTTACTCCTGTTTCTTTAGACATCCCCTCCTCTCCATATCATTTTCCTTAACAGCCTTCTTCATTCATTTCCCTTCATCCCTCCCTCTCCTTCCCCATAATTTTACAGTAGATTTTCTTCTCCCCTCTCTCTCTCACACATAGTTAACTCGGCTTCACTGTGATCTGTCCTATAGAAGCACTGTTCTTCACAGTTTTCCTGGATAAAGATGAACTTGATGAACACTCACAGAATACATACCTATTTACATGACACTTTAAGTGGTTACAGTATTGTCATTACTGTGCATTCATTCTAACAGTAATTAAAGTATGTAGCAGCCATTTAAATGGATGCACTAATAGCACTGGTAGTTTTAACTAAGTTGAGGTGACAAAATTGACAACATTATTCACAACTGCTATCAAATTGCACTAGAGATGGACTCAGCCCTCGTGTCCCTGATTGCAGGGAATCATAACATGACTTCATACAGGTAAGACACAGAAAGCCATACCTGCAGAGTATTGTAAATATATGACCTTAGCTGAAAAAAATCTTACCAGCCCTGAAAAGTGTTAAGCCCTGCAGGTGGTAGATTTAGAACCTAACCATCCCCTCATCTCCTTCGCTGTGCCTTGAGAATTGGCTTACAGCAAAACAGGCAAAAGGGGTGTAAAAAGTCTAACAGGGGTCCTCACAGCCTTTAAAACAGGCTAGAAGGGACAGGGTGTGGTACTAAGAGTCTGATTCAGCCGACAAGCAGTTGGAGGTTGAGGCAGAGAGTGAAAACAGAAAGGGCTAGTAGTGAGAAAGAGGGTGGGAAGGGGGAGGGAGAGGAAGAAGATGGAGGCAGGTCAAACTCAGGTGGACATTCAAGCTCGAAGCATCGCAGGGTGACACCTGAGTCCTCATTGCCATAATTTGCCCAATATTCTTCTGGGTCAAGTTTAGGTAGTGCAAGTTCTTCCTCGCCCAGCTCGTACTTGACTACTGAGGTGGTTGTGGATGGGCCTTTCCCATGTAAACCAGCCTTGACAGTCTCTGAAGCCTTCTCAAATATACCTTTTGTGGATGACTGGGGCCTGTTCTTGTGGAACCACCAGCGGGTCTTGGTGCTGAAGGTGGTGGTGGTGGAGCCGGCGATGGAGCCAGGGTCGGGCAGGGGGCAGAGAGCGAAGTCCATCTCACGAAGGAAGCGAAGGTCCTGGCCACGGCGGGTGGAGGGAGAAGCACAGATCACTTCTGATGAAGAGACACGGGCCTCACGGAACCACTCCCAAAGGGCACGGGCCTCACAGCCGCAGGACCAGGGATTGGCATTGAGTCGGAGGAACTCAATGCCCTGGGTGTCCCTCAGGGCCTGGCTGGGGAGCTCAGCCAGGGAGTTGTTGAAGAGGAAGAGCATGGTCAGGCGGCCAAGATCACGGAAGGCGCGACGGTTCACCTGCCTGATGCGGTTGTCATGAAGGAGAAGGCGGTCAAGATTAACCAGCCCACGAAACACATTCTCTGAGATGGTGCGGATTCGGTTGCCATGCAGGAATAGCTGGCTCAGGTTGATGAGATCAGAAAAGATGTCGTCCTGCAGGAAGTGGAGATTATTTTCCTGAAGAAGAAAGGAAAAAATGGAAAAGGGTTACTATGTAACAGACACTCTGGAGTTTGTAATATTTGTCACTGGTCATTTGTAATGCTGTGTGTATGTATAGCCTATGTGTGGGTGGTTGCATGTGTGTGTGACTAACTGCGTGTCAGAGTTAACTGCATGAATTTGTATGTTGCTTCAGCACCCCTACCTGCAGGTAGAGGAACTGCAGGCTGTAGAGTTTGTGGAAGATGTCATGGGGCAGGGCAGTGAGCCGGCAGCGGTGCATGTGGAGGCTCTGGAGCTTCTCAAGGCCACGGAAGGCTCCTCCCTCCAGCCTGTGGAGGTTAGGGTTGTCCCCCAGGTCCAACTCCTCCAAGTCCCTCATCTCACTGAAGGCCCCAGCCTCAATCCACGTGATGTTGTTGGAAAACAGCCACAGAACCTGATGCAAGAAAACACGGTGTGATTATTGTTCTCAAGGGAAATTACTTAACATTAAAGCTGAAAACAATGTTAAACATGCTGAAATATAGCTTATCTATATGTAAGAACTAAAGATCATGTTCTTTGTCCTCCCTTGTAAATTGTGGTTTGCACAGTCCTGCTTACCTGAGTTCCGAAGCCAAAAGAGCCAACTCTAAGCTCCGTGATCCGGTTGTTCTGGAGAAACACGCGCTGCGACTCATAGGGCATTCCGACCGGGACGGCGGTGAAGTTCTGCGCCTGGCAGCTCACAGTCATGGGCGTCGGGTAGCACACGCAGTGATGCGGGCACCCCGATGCCGGACTCGGCTTGCCGAGGACCATCCACACCACCAGCCAGAGCGAGAGACCGCCTGGAGGAGAGC